AGATCTACTATGGAATCTGAGTTCATTGATTTGGATAAGGCAGGTGAGAAGGTTGACTGGTTAAGGAATTTTCTTATGGATGTTTCTTTGTGATCTAAACCATTTCCAGCTATTTCTGTCCATTGTGACAGTCAAGTAACTATTTTAAAAGCTCAAAATTCATCCTATAATGAAAAGTCTAGACATATTCGTAGGAGGCACAATACAGTGTGTCAGTTGCTTAAAGATGTGATTATGGCTATTGACTATGTGAAGTCAAGTGATAACATTGCTGACCCATTAACCAAAGGATTGACTAGAGAGCTAATTCAACAAACATCGAGGGGGATGGGGCTAAAGCCTATTATGTATTAGATCACCTATAATGGAAACCCAACCTTGCAATTGGAGAACCCATGGTCAAGGTTCAATGGGAAAACAAAGTTATTGGAGTGGTCTGTGGGGGTACTACATTGGATTTATTCCAAACCCCTCCCTATGATGCGTAGTACCAACTATATTGATTAGAGGATGAGCTAATGCTCTTATTGCTTACTATAGCTGATATTCAATGAGGGTGTTTAGATATAGTGCACCCTTGATAGTAGCACCTATTTGAGTGTGGAAGTGGGGCCGCTTCCTATGAGAATTGAGGCGAATTCTCTAGAGCACTCAAAGAAACTGGGAAAGTTCACGGCCGAAATGAACACAACCGCGAGAACTCAATGACTGTTCTAGAAATCATGTGTGTGTTCTATTGTCTCAGTTTGCAACTATAATTGTAGAGTTCAAGACATAGTTCACTCTACAGTTAGTAAGCTCGATAGAATATACAAAGCCAAGGTTCAAGTCGATAGACACCTAAGCTTGCATGATTTCTACCGTACTCCAGAGTAATATTTTCATTTATCTTATTTCTTTCATGTGGGGGATTGTTATATATTTATGGTATAAATATAAAATGTGAAAGAAATAATCAAATTAGATAAAGTGCCAAAGTGGTGGGAAATGTGACATTTGTGTGGGACGTCAGGGGTTCGAATCACTCCCCACGTAAATATTAAAATGTCTTGATTTGGGCCTTGGGGCCTTGGGCTCTTGGGCTTCCTTGACTAAAACAAATATTTTTTTCTTCATTATTTAATGGGTAAAACTAGCCAGTATTTTATGACTGTTTGTTTTTGTAACAACCCACTAACTGTCATTAAAACACCCACTACTCAGTCATTAAAATTCTGCATTAACATGGTGAAGACTGTTACTACCATCTTGCCTATATAAACCCATATCTTGCTTTGGGAAAAGACACACAAAAAGAAAATAGAATCAATCACTCTTTTCATATTGTGAATTTCTTATATTCGGGTTTTTATACCTATTCTGGAGTACAATTGAGAGTTCTAGAAAAATCATTCGTGATTGCTGCATAAGTGGTTTACGATCGTTGTATCCTGGGAGTGATTGTCCACGGAGGTCACAGCAATTATTGACGGGCAATTTCACTTTAGGACATCGTGCTGTCACGAGACTCGATCGATAAGTTTTATATTTCTGCATTATATTGTTCTGATCACTGCTGCAACTAATTATTTTCCCAACACTTAGATTGTTTCGTGTATACACATTTTCTTGAATGAGTTGTTGAAAGATATTGATTTGTGAATTCATATTTTGTTGGTCAACCAATGTGTTGAACACTCCTGTCCCTCCTTGAGCAAAATTCATCCCATTTTCTATCCATTTCTCTTCTATTTTTTTCCATTCATAAGCTACAGGAGATCTTATGCCAAGCTGCATTTATAAAATAGCTTAAGACGCTATACTAACTAAAAGGGGAAGTGTGTATATAAGTAGAATTATGAATTAACAAAGATATACACATAATATTTTGTTGAGTCACCTGTCGAATTTATAGCATAGAATTATATTATAACATGTGAAAGATTAATGAAAAATTAATAATAAGTTAGATATTTGTTTATTGCCAGACCGTATGCTAAGGTCCCTGAGCAATATAGTCCTATCCTGTTCATGAATGAACATGTACATTTTTATAGTTCCACATAGAAATTTTGCTACTTTATCAAGAAAAATTTGAATGCGTGAGTTTAGAAGGCGTGGCATTTTACTAATTCATGAATTACCAATTAATAAAGAAATCCTTAATTTGTTCTTTTGCAAGGAAATCAAACTAAAGTGAAATGGAGTTAACTCATTAATAAAAACGAGAAAAAAAAATTGTAACCTTTTTATATTCATATAAATTCATAAAAAATGTAAAAGGCCAACCATCAAATAAGAAATATCAATATTGGAGATAAGTATAAATAAAAAATATAATTTCCACATTTTATTTAAAATGTTTTGGCAAAGAGTCTAGTGATAAAGAAATGAAAGAATAACTTATTAAACAAATAATTTTTCCAAAGTAAATAATGTTATGCATGTTATGCTTTGATAAAGGTTTTGAAAAAAATTGTTAATAGACTTGAATTCAAATTCTCGTACTGAAAATTGTACACTCGAAGGAAAAGTGATCTCATATGGGCTATCTATGAAACAAAAAAAACTTTTAGATACGATTATTAACGAGAGCTTACTGATGTAGTATGTGCTGTGATTATATTGTTCAAAACCAACAACAATTAAAAAAAAAAAAAGAAAAAAAAAAAGTGGTCCATGCGACCGCATGGAGTAAAGCCATGCGGTCGCATGGCCATATACCAAGACCAAATGGTCTCGACATGAGTGAACCATGTTTTTTGTCGTTGAAGGCCGTTTTCTCCCGTCGTAAATTTAAATTTAGTAACTTTTGGCTTAAAGTTTGGTACCATTTCGTGAATGTGGTGTATGCCTATATATATTAGATCCATGTTGAAGGCAAAAATCATCACAAAAACATCAAGATTCCATATTACTTCCAAAATCAAATATCAAAGTTTTTAAAAAAGCCATATTCATATTCATCATTTGTGTTTTTCAAGTTCTCTAGGATTTGCACTTGTGCTTTGGTGCTTAAATCCTTGCAAGGCTTGTTATAATCCTACAAACCATTTGCCAACAATCTTCGAAACATTTCAAATTCATAGGAGAAGGGGCAAATATTGTTTGAGGACAATGATATAGTGTTCAAGCCATTCGTTGATACAATTTCATGATTATCTTGTTATTGACGTTTCCGGTTCATATTTTGTAATCTCTACTCCAATCCGGTGAAATTTCTCCAACAATCTCAAATGATAATTCTGTAATGGAAAGCGAGACAACGATGGTGATAATCAAACTCATGAATCAAGACTTGGTGTGGCTAGATCGGCTCGATGGAACAAACTACACTTGATGGAAAGACAAATTGAAGTTTCTTCTCACTACAATAAAGATCTTCTACATCCTAGATCTGAAATTGGCACCACTACCGGAACCAACAAATGGAGAAACCGAAGCGGTGAGGAATGAAAGACAAAATCGCCAAGAAGATGAGTTAATATACCGTGGTCACATTCTCAACGCATTATCGGATCGTTTGTATGACTTATATACAAACACAACTTCAGCAAAGGAAATTTGGGGTGCGCTCGAAAATAAGTACAAAGCGAAAGAATAAGGTACAAAGAAATTTTTAATTTCTAAGTATTTTGATTTTAAATGTTTAGAAAATATTTCTCTTCTTCTCCAAATACATGAAATGTAAGTAATTGTCAATAAGTTGAAGGCAGTGAAAATTGAAATATCGAAGACCTTTCACGTGGGGGCTATAATTGCCAAACTTCCCAAAACTTGAAAAGGATAATGGAAGAAGATAATGCATAGTTCCAAAGATTATTTTTTGGAACAACTACAAAAACATCTTCAAATTGAGGAAGAGTCGAGAATACGTGATAAAAGTGATTCTCATGAGTGCATTTCCAAAGTAAATGCTGTAGAAAATTTCGAACCGCCAATAAAATCAATAAAAGAAAGCCTTTGAGGAACCTTAATAAGTTCAAGAAGAAGACCAAAGGAGGATGCTTTGTTTGTGGGAAATCTGGACACTATACAAAAGATTGTAGATACCGAAAACACAACAACTCCGAGGGTAAAGTGAATTTCATCCAACAAGACAAGATTGTGGATACCGTGAGCGAAATAAATGCAATTAAGGGAAAGGTTCCCGGCTGGTGGTATGATACTTGTGCCACGGTGCATATATCATATGACAAATCTTTGTTCAAGACATACAATGAAGTGGATGGAGACCAAGAGATCCAAATGGGTAATGAGGCGCGGTCCAAAGTAATTGGAAAAAAAAGTATAGAAATTATCTTCACTTCTAGGAAAAATGTTACTCTCACAAATGTACTACATGTATTGGATATGAATAGGAACTTAGTGAATAAAAATCTTTTGAGAAAATTGGGCATTAAAAGTGTCTTTGAGTCCGATAAACTTGTATTATCACTTAACGAGAAATTTGTTGGAAAAGGGTTATTCATGTGAAGAAATGGTCAAACTTTGTATTATTGACAATGAAATAAATAAAGTTGATTTTGCTTACATGATCGATTTATTTTCTTTATGGCATGCTAGATTAGGTCAAATAGGTAAAAGTACCATGAAACGCATAAGAAATTGTGACTTAATTTCATATGATGAAAATGATGCCATTAAATGCAAACCTTGTGTAGAAGTAAAAAATGGTTAAAAAGTCTTATCAAAGCGTTAAGAGGATTTCCAGCATATTAGAATTAATTCATTCCGATATATGTGAATTAAATGGCATAATAACAAGAAGTGAAAATAGATATTTCATAACATTTATTGATGATTGCTCAAGATATACCTATATTTATTTGATGAAACATAAATATGAAGCATTTGATTTGTTTAAAACTTATAAGAATGAAGTTGAAAATCACTTAAATAAGAAAAAAAGACCTTAAGAAGTGATAGAGGTGGTGAATACTTTTCTAGTGAATTTAATTTATATTGTGAACAATATGGCATAATTCACCAATATTCTGCACCTAGGACACCTGAACAAAATGGTTTGACAGAAAGGAAGAATAGAACCTTAATATAAATGATTAATATCATGCTTAGATATGCTAAGTTGTCGTTTAATTTATGGGGTGAAGCTTTATTAAGTGCATGTATGATACTTAATAAGATTCCTTCTAAACATACAAATGTTTCTCCTTATGAATTGTGGAAAGGAAGAAAACTGAACATTGGATACTTCAAAGTGTGGGGGTGTCTTGTTTATTGCAAAAACACAAATCCTAATAGGACCAAATTGGGTCCAAGAGGCATTAAATGTATTTTAGTTGAATATGCTAATAATAGCAAATCTTATAAATTGCTAAACTTGGAGACCAATGTGATTATCGAATCAAGTGATGTAGAGTTCTTTGAAGATTTGTTATCGTCGGATAATGAATTAAAGGAAAATATTGAAAACGTCCCTAGCTCAAGTGGAACACATGATGAAATCTCTTCTAAAGATGTTGATGAGTCCAGTGAACCACGAAGAAGTAAGAGAACTCGAGTTGAGAAGTCTTTGGGACTGGATGAAATTGATTATCAACTTATCTCCTTTTACTTAGTAGAAGGAAATAAGTTGAATGTTGTAAGAACAGTTCTTTTTGTACTACAAGTGGAAACCGACCCTAAAACCTATAAAGAAGCTATGACTTCTCGTGATAGCATTTTTTGGAAAGATGTAATTAAAGATGAAATGGATTCAATAATATCTAATAAAACTTGGGAACTTGTCGATCTACCACCGGGATCCAAACCTATTTGATGTAAATGGGTATTTAGGAGGAAATATAATGTTGATGGCTCTCTAAATACTTTCAAAACTAGATTAGTAGCTAAAGGATATTAACAAAAGGAAGGAATCGACTTTTTTGACACTTATGCACCGGTAGCTAGAATAACATCAATTAGGATATTATTTGCATTGGCCTCAATATATGACTTGCATGTTTATCAAATAAATGTCAAGACGACATTTTTAAATAGGGATCTCAATGAGGAGGTATATATGGAGCAACCCGAAGGGTTCGTTCTACCTGGAAATGAACATAAGGTATGCAAGTTAGTAAAATCTTTATATGGTTTGAAGCAGGTACCTAAGAAATGGCATGAGAAGTTTGACATAGCTATAACATCATTCGGATTTAAACATAACAACGTAGATAGATGTTTATATTCTAAAGTGTACAATGATTATGTAACATTTATATGTTTATATGTTGACGACATGTTGATTATGAGTAATCATATGGATGGTATAGAAGAAACAAAGAGGTTTCTATCTTCCACATTCAAGATGAAAGATCTTGGTCAAGTGGATACCATTTTAGGCATCAAAGTCTCAAAGACTAGTGGGGTTTATCACCTAAGTCAATCACATTATATTGAGAATGTGATAAATAAGTTCAAACACTTGAACATAAAAGAATATAGTACCCCCGGTTGATCTAAGTTCAAAGCTTGTAAAGAATGATGGAAGAGCGATTGCTCAATTGGAATATACTAGTGCAATCGGAAGTTTTATGTATGCAATTCAATCACAAGACTAGACATAGCCTATGCTATAAGTAAACTTAGTAGGTTAACTAGCAATCCGAGTAATAATAATTGGAAGGCCATTGGAAGAGTTCTTGGATACTTAAAGAAAACCAAGAACCTGGGCATGCAATATACTAAATTCCCGACGGTATTGGAAGGATTTATCGACGCTAGTTGGATATCTAGTGCGGATGAGAGTAAATCCACTATGGGCTGGGTGTTCACTCTTGGAGGAGGTGTTGTTTCTTAGAAATCAAAGAAACAAACATACATAACACACTCGACAATGGAATCTGAATTTGTAACCCTATCAGATATCGAGAAAGAGGCTGACTGGCTTAAGAATCTCCTTTATGAGATACCTTTGGGATCGAAGAATATTTATTCAATACATATTATGTGTGATAGTCAAGCCACATTAGCAAAAGCATATAATGAGGTATACAACGGAAGGTCTAGACACATGAGTCTTAGACATGACTATATAAGGAAGTTAATCAAGGATGAAATAATTTCCCTAAATTATGTAAGGTCAATTAAGAATTTGGCGGCCCCTTTTACTAACCTCTAAACAGAGACTTAGTAGCATCTACTTCGAATAGGATGGGGTTGAAACTCCCTAACTAAAAAGGTTCACCAATGACAGCAACTCTACCTGTCATTACTCAAAAGGTAATTTACGGGTTTAAAGGGTAATAACAAGTCATTCGATATGTGAATAGTTGCAGCATTATTAAAAAAATTCTCAATAATCCTATCCTAATTATATTAATGCTGGTTGTTACTGAAATGAGGCATGAGCTTTAAGCTCTTAATGAAGTTCGGTGTTAAAACACAAGTTCCTCTAAAGGTAACAAAGGTACTTAAAAAACTTCACTTAAACAATTTTTAAGGTGGTGCTGCCTTAATAGAGAGTTGGAGTTTCTCTCTTAAAAGATTGTTGAAAAGGATAAGCGCAAGGCCATAAAAGCGCTAAGTGAGTTATGAGGAACTTGAGAACACGTGGTACTCATGTGCATGTTTTTACCGGTATTGTTATATGAAATAACTGGTTCAAAGCTACACGCTAACTTTGATTCTGACTATACTTTGCTTGAATTACACTATAGTTAGATTCAAATCGAAAGATAACTAATTCTTATACATGAGTATCATATATCATGAATATGAGACTTGTTAATTTTAAACAAGTAGGGGATTGCTGTGATTATGTTGTTCAAAACCAACAACAATTTAAAAAAAGAAAAAGTGGTCCATGTGACTGCATGGAGTAAAGTCATGCGGTCGCATGGCCATATGTCGAGACCATTTGTTCTCGACATAGGGCCATGCGACCGCATGGTTTTGTACCATGTGGTCCCATGGTACAATGTTTTTTACCGTTGGAGGCCGTTTTCTCCGGTTGTAAATTTAAATTTGGTGACTTTTCACTTAAAGTTTGGTACCATTTCGTGAATGTGGTGTATGCCTATATATATTGGATCCATGTTGAAGGCAAAAATCATCACAAAAATATCAAGGTTTTATATTACTTCCAAAGTCAAAGTCTTTAAAAAAGCTATATTCATATTCATCATTTGTGTTCTTCAAGTTCTCTAGGATTTGCACTTGTGCTTTGGTGCTTAAATCCTTGTAAGGCTTGTTATAATCCTCTAAACCATTTGTCAACAACCTTTGAAGCATCTCAAATTTATAGGAGAAGGGGCAAATATCGTTTGAGGACAACGATATCGTGTTCAAAATATTTGTTGATACAAGTTCGTGATTATCTTGTTATGGGCGTTTCCGATTTATATTTTGTGATCTCTACTCCAATTCGGTGAAATTTCTCCAACGGTATATGAGAACGCAGCCATCGGAATATCTTCCAGATGGTCTCCCAGGGAAAGTGATTCCATATGGTTGCTTCCAAAAACTGGCTGTAGAACATGGCAGGTTTCCAGCATCTGCATATGAATCCTCGAAAACAAAAGGTTTCGCCCTGTCAACCAATTCTTCTCCAAGTAATTGGACATCGTAAACTAATTCTGGAATCATATATCATTGAACAAAAACAAATCATAAGTGCCAACAAAAAAAGCAACTTTTCGGGAAGTTTAAGAAGATTTAATGCAGTAAGAGTAAGGATATCTCAACCAGTGCAAACAATAAAAGATATGAGATAGAAGAAAGTGACGAATGTCTTCTTCTCCATAAAATTATAAATAATAAAAACTGGAAAATTTTTATGGAAATCAATTAGCTCGCTTTGTTGATGAAAATTAAGTTGAGTTTGAAAATATATAGAGCAAGCAAGAGACATAGGGAGAGAGATGATTATTATAATAACTAGTCACTATCACGTGCGTTGTACGAATTTTGTATTTATCGTATTTTTATTAGTGTATGAATTTTAGTTTTTTGGAAAGTTTTTGAAGTAATATCTAGAAATATTTCTATGATATAAGAAAAAGATTGAAAATTATTTTTACAATTGCAATAGTATTGTTTTATCTAGAAAAAATATGCTTCTATATTTCATGAATAAGAAATATACAAGGTTATACAAACTATTGCGCATGTATTCTTTGATAGTGTTGATATGATTGAGTTGAATGAGAAGATTATATTTCTAAATTTTGTGTAATTCAATATTGAAAAATTGAAGATTGAGCAAAAAATTATAAATCGACTTGTATATTTATATGCGTTTTATATTTTGTCGTTCATATATTTTAATATTTATTTTACGTTTATGTTGAAAAAAAAAATCCGGAATTTTTTTTTAACATTCGGTTTGGTAAGTCCTCGGTATTTATAAGTGCAAAAACTGATATATACGGTAAGCTGCAAATATGGTAGGTAGCATATACGGTAAGCTGTAAATACGATAAATTGTCTGTATATACGGTAAGATGCAAATACGGTAGACAGCATATACGGTAAGCTGCAAATACAGTAGACAGGATATACGATATTGAAATTTATTGTAGTGAATTAAACCGAATTCATTCATACCGTATATGTACTTTACATGCCGTATTTGCATTTTACCGTATATGCAGCATGTTGTATTTACAGCATATCGTATTTAGAGCACACCGTATTTGCATCATACCGTATATGGAGCATACCGTACTTACAGCAAACATTATAATCAATAGCCTTCTCCTCTCTCTTAAGCATCTCTTAAACATTTATCTAGCTTCATTCACAAAAGCAACATGTTGATCGTAATATGTAATGAAACCAAGTTCAATCTAAAATCCAAATTGCCAATAATATGCAATCAAATTAAAAACATAATCGAGCAGAATGTTAAGAAATATCATACCGAAAATTTAAAATAATTAACAAAAACTTTAAATTCATCCTAGAAATGCTATGAAATGCATTCGCAAAAGAAAGTCAAAATCCCAACAAAAGCACAACTTCCGCACAGCTAATTATTTTCCTAGAAAGTATTGCCTAATGTTAGTTGGGTAAATTGATGTTAATTCATTTTTGTTGGAATAGTGTGATGTTGATGTTAATTTGGTGAATTCATTTTTGTTGGAATACCGAATATTTAGTTTTGCTAATTTTATTGTGGATATTTAAAAAAAATTGCTCGACACTTCATGTGAGCAAAGTTCGGAGTTGCTCCCACAAAGCGTGGAGTTACTCCGCACACATTGCTTTCCTCCACATCCGTCTTTATAAACTACAATAATCTTACTGTACACAAAAGAATCTAGCTGGTACTCTTTCTTCTTCATCTGAGAAATAACTAACCAAGTATCCTTTACCTTATTCGTGTGAACATAATAGTCAATAAGTATTAATATTTTGCGATTCCTTACCAAACCTAAATCATCTAATAATCTCGAGATTTTTTCTGCAAGTTGTAAGAGGTATTTTCTCAAACAACTTTTGAACAATGCATTGAATTCCTGGTCTACAATTCGAAAGTATAATTTCATCAAAAATAATGTCCTAGAAATACTTCGAAGAGCTGTTATCGAGCAAGTGTAAGATATTGAATTCGGGTGGTACTCTAGAGCCTCCATTTGTGAAATCAATGCCATGGCACTATTAATATCCCCTTCTTTGAAATTGTTGTGCGGAGTGTTCCATTGTTATCTATAGATTTTTTTTAAAAAAAAATCATTAATAATAATTAATGTATTTATTTTAATTATTAATTTTTTTAAAAAAAATTTGTGACATGCGGTGTGGAGTGTCCGCACTTCGCACACATATCGCACATTTAAATTATTATTTTTATTTATAAATTAGTAATTAGACTAAATGCATTAATTACTATTAATTATTTTTTTAAGATATTCTATATATAACAACAAATCTGAAAAAATAAATGAAATAGTAATGATTTATAAAACCAATTATTGCAAGCAAATTTTTTGTTTCACATGGGTGGCAAAGTCAAGAAATTCACGTGAAACTTCTGAAAAGTTGTTTCACGTGAATAAAAGAGGAAAAAAACAAAAAAAAGGTCTTTTTTCCTTTCGTTTCATTTCTTTACTGAAGTTTATTTTTCTTTCAGCAGTATTGTTGCAGTTGGGCTTTTCATCTTTCATCCCAAAATCTCAAGAAAACAAATTACAAAGTAATTTTTTAGTTTTCAAGATTTTTTCTTTTTTATTTTTGTTGTAATTAATTTGTTTTCCTGCTGTGAATGTGAAAAATTTATTTTCTATAGATTTTTGAGATTTTTGTTGTGTTAACATGATGTAACTGAATTTTGATTTATAATTTTTTGAGTTTATACTGTCTTTTTTATTTTATTTTAAAACATCAATATTTTGTTTTGTTTAGTATGTTAGGTTGAATAAAGCTTGATTTACAGTAGAAAAGTTTTGTATCGTTTACCAGTATGAATATAAGCACAAAACCTTCATGAATTCAGAGTTTTCTAGGAATTTGGGCTATGATGACACCTTGCTTGTATTTATTGATTGCAAGAGTTGACCCTCGTATTGATAATTTCTGGTTTCTTTGTAAAATGGAGCAAAAATATAATTAACTATTGACTTGATACAACTAAAACTATGTTATCTTGATTTATATTATTTATTGTTAAAAGATACTTCAATTAACATAAAACCAAAAATAATTTGAATACCAAAAATAATTTGAATATTTTGTTTAGATAATCTTATATATGTAACTAAAATGCTTATCCCTAATTAGAACACTTTTGATATATTTGCTTATAGTTTAATTGATTTCTCTTTAAAATCAACCAATCCCTCCAAATCTCATGTGATTATCTAGAACTATATATGCTGAGGTAAATTATTTTATAGCAGTAAACATTTATCTATTAATTAGTTATGTGGATAAAGTGGAAAATATTTGTATAAGACATGTTTTAATTTTTATTTGTAATCCAAATATTAGTTTGTAAATAAGTTTTGTTATTTCATGCAGATGTCTATAGATTATGTCTTGTCTCAAGACCAATGGTTCTGTACTACTATTTGTCAATATCCAAATCATTAACATGTTAGAGATTTGATAGAATTGTTACAAGCAGACGAACAAGCATAATTAATGTGCAGTAATTTTCATGAATTTCTATATTGATTTATGTATAGAGACGAAGAGCAACAATTTAGTAGCAAGTTGAAACATGAATTTATAATGAAGATTGTCAATTCCGGTAAAAACAATGAAGTGTGGGTAAGATTTGATGACCATCTTACCTGTTTTGGAATGCAAGAATTCTGCTTAATCACTGGACTACCTTGTTACGAACCATCTATTAATCTTGACTATAGTAATCCTCGGCTTAGAAACAAGTATTTCAATGGTGTGAAAAGGATTTCTATGAGAATGCTCCATGATGCCTTTAATTCATGTGAAGATCAAGAAGATAAATTCAAACTTAGATTGGTTATATTGATAGAGTGTGTTCTCAAACTAACTGAAAGACATATTGATTATAGAATGCTTGGTATGGTTGAACAATTTGACGATTTTCTTTTGTATCCATGGGGTCAGAAGGTATATTTTGTTTTGTTGAATTCATTGCAACAATCACACTTTGAAAGAATACTAAGAATGCAACAAGCTGAGCAAAGGGAGTGTAAATATTCACTACATGGATATCCTCTTGCTTTTCAGGCATTTATTTTTTACTAAATTTTTATCTTTTGTTTAGTTTAATATTGTATATATTTAATATTTACCTTCAATTTCAATTTGCAGTTTTGGATATACGAAGTATTTCCTAAGATTGGAAAGAAATTTGGACGAAGGAGATACAAGACATTACAAATTCCAAGAATGCACAAATGGAAGCGAGACAAATATTGACAGACAATTGTAAAACAATATTTGTCTACACACGAGGTATGGTAATTATATGATAATTTATACATCTAATTATTCTACTATACTATAGTATAGAATTCTAATATTTTATTATGTTTATAGATTCGAGTCCTTGCGGTATTGCAACCAATAGAAGAAGAATTGCAGACATTGTGGTACACAACTCTATCGTTACCGTTCGATAATAAACACGCTATATTAGACAGCATTGCTGGTGGAGAGCTTGGCAACATTGTACCACAAATTCCACATAGCAAGCAAACAATTAATGCTGATGATGCTGGTACTTCCAGAGTTGGAGTAGAGCCTAATTATACTTCTATTGTTGACTGTAATTATGTCACAAAAGAATAGATGGAAGAAATGTTCACTACACATAGACAATATGTATCTGGTCAGTATGATGACTTGAAGGCACACATGGTGGAAGGATCAAGAAAACAACAGGGTGAATATCTTGAAAATCAGAAGGGAATGTTTGAAGAACAACAAAAATGGCATGAACATCAATATCAATAGTTGCACTCTGCTTATCAATCTGGTATGCAATCTGCATATATGGATTGTAAAGCTTTCTGCCAGGATTTTTTTGGTCAACAGATGACTGAACAATCAAGAAGACAATAAGTAATTATCAAGCAATTGTTGACAATCAGAAATAATTTTTTCAGCAACAACAAAAATGGCAGGAAGGTCACCATCAGGAAATGCAATCTTACGTGGACAACAGTTTAACTTCGATGAGATCTTACTTTGAAGAACGGAACAACAACATGCTGAATAGAATGAGTGATATGAAAGTTATTGTTGGTTGTTTAAAGGAAGATATTCCTGACTCCAACAGTAAAATTCGTGGCAAGAAAGTAACATCCGAACAAACTCTTCAAACTGAAATGTCAATAGAAGAGATGTATAATAGGAAGATAAAGTCTTCAGGTTTTCCTCTCGAAGATTATTCTATGGAGAGGTATTTATCAGTTCATCAATGGATGGTGGTGAATACATCGAGGTAAAAAGCCTAATTCTAACTTATTAGTTATATTGTATTTATTTCACTTTGATATAAACTATGATCTACAGTACATATTGGGATGTTGAAGGCAATATGTATGGAAGAGACACTATACAATATACTTGAAGACAAAGATATCAGTATTGCGGTTAGTGAAGCTCACAAATTATAATTAAATTTAATTTACATTTGACATATAATTTATATCTATTTATTGTATTAGACTATAGAGATGGGGTTGAAGTTATTGAGGCGATTGATTAAAGAAGATTCTACTCTCCTCTCTAAATAACATGGAATTTTGGACTTCAATTTTGAAGCTGAATGCAATCACCAATTGATGTGGCAAAGAACTTTAAAAGAAGGAAGTTCTAGTGCAGATCATCGTCAGATGGATTTGACTGTATTAAAAAATTACATAAGTGGCAATTTGTCGGAGCACAGTCGTCCATGGATAGCATACAATTATTTATTAATTTCATGTTCGTATTTAACCGATTATAATTGTTATCTTCTTGTTGTTGATTTTTGTCAGTGAAAATTTTAGATATATGATTGCAGTAATGATGTCCACACACCAACAGAAATTAGGAAACAAGTACATACAATATATGAAATACTTTCAAATGTTATTGACGAATTTTGAATTTTGTTCCATCAGACCTGATTTAAGAAAGCACAGAAACAAGCGGCTTAAATCGGAGATTATATCTCATTTGTCTTGCACAAATAATGGGTAAGTATTTAAAACATTTAAATTGTTTATTATTTACTACTATATTGAATTTTTCTTTTAATTTCGATTTCTATATTCATTATTAGTTTAGTCTAACGAAAAAAATTTGTATGTAGGCCAAACTGTAGGCTTTTTCTCCTCAAATACATAGAATGCTTTCTTCTAAAATATCCATTATAAACAGTTGATTTGGAGAGAATGAGTATATATAGACGGAAAATTGTGGCTGACATTTGTTACAATGAATATTTTTTTAAATCCCCATAAATCGTGATAGTAATTGTAATTGTGATGTAAATGATAATTTAAATATACTTCCTCAATGTTGAGAATGATTGCTATGTAATAAGTAAGTTTTTTATTAATCTGAAATTATTTTTACTTCTTGTTTTTGATATATATATATATATATATACATTGCTATAATATAAAAAGAAAGAATAATAGGAATATTTATATGGTGAGAAATTCTGTTCTTTGATTAGTATTTTATGGGTGTAGACATATATTTGGTCGATGAATTGTCATTAACCTCTTATTTTTGTAACTAGGAAAATTAGAAATTTCATATTTTAGTCTTTGGAATTTTTTGGAATTCAGGATTAATTGAAAGTAAATGAAAGACAGAAAATAGAAATACCTTAGAAGTCTTTTTTTGTGAAATTACCTAA